TGTCGCAAATCATCCGTGGCCAAAGAAATCAACAGGTCCCGACACGCATCGCCGTCTCGCCGGTTACGACTGGCATAGTCTCGCGGCGGCAAGGGCGGGCCTTCGTCCGCGGCGGCGGGCCTCTTCTTCAGGCCGGGCTTGCGCCCTCGAGACCCCAGAAATCCGCCTCGTAGCGGGAAGCGGTGAGGTCAGACGCCGCTGGGCGCTTCCGCGCAAGCATGGCACCGGGAAGGCAGCTGCCCGGCGGGGCCGCCCGGCTGACCCTGCGGGTGCAAACGGCGCGCGGCCCCTGCGCGCGCGTCGCTCCGAAGCGCACGGGCGCCTTGCCTCGAGCTGGAGAGTAGGGAGGGGAGCCGCGAGTAAGTGCGACAAGGAACGCTGGGGCCCTGGGGAGGCCTCCTGGGGCCTCCTGGGGCGGCCTCTGAAGCATCAGGAAGCCATGTGTTTTCACGCTTGTCCCGCTCTGAAGCGTTAGGAGACCACGTGTTTTCACGCTTGTCCAGCTCTGAGGCGTTAGGAGACCAGGCGTTTTCAGGCGGGACGTGAAAACAAGCATTTCGCCTGAGACATCCTTTGCGTTCTGGCCCCCCACGAGGCCCCCGCTCGAGACACCCCCAATTTTGCAAAACCAGCGTTTCGCTCGAGACATCCTCAACAAATTATGAACAACACGCGTTTCGCTCGAGACACCCTGGCAAAATCCAAAAACATCCTGGTAAAACAAACGAATTAGTCGAGATATCATCACAATTCCTGCGCGCGGGACGCGGCACGCGCGAGACATCCTCGGAATTCTTGCGAACGGGACGTGCAAACAAGCATTTTCGCTTGAGACATCCTCTGAATTCTGGCCCCCCACGAGGCCCCCGCTCGAGACACCCCCAATTTTGCAAAACCAGCGCTTCGCTCGAGACATCCTCAATAAATTATATACAACAAGCGTTTCGCTTGAGACATCCTGTCACAATCCAAAGAAATGCTGGCAAAACAAACGAATTATCTTGGCGAAGGACCCAACCATACGCAAGTGTGAAAAACCGCAGGGCAGGTGGGACGAAACAATAGGAATTCCTCATGGGGCCACGAACCGTGTGAGGGGTGCACCAACCTGGCGCGGGGCCACCATGCGAACCCTGCCACTGGGGCCTTCGGTGGAGCTCCCTATGGGGCCACGAACCGTGTGAGGGGTGCCAAAAAATAGCGCGGGGCCGCCATGCGAACCCTGCCACTGTGGCCTTCGGTGGAGCTCCCCATTGGGGCCACGAGCCGTGTGAGGGGTGCACCAAACTGGCGCGGGGCCGCCATGCGAACCCTGCCACTGGGGCCTTCGGTGGAGCTCCTTATGGGGCCACGAACCGTGCGAGGGGTGCGCCAAAATGGTGCGGGGCCGCCATGCGAACCCTGCCCCTGGGGCTTTCGGTGGGGCTCCCTATGTGGCTACGAACCGTGTGAGGGGAACACCAAACTGACGCGGGGCCGCCATGCGAGCCCTGCCTCTGGGGCCTTCGGTGGAGCCCCCTATGGGGCCACGAACCGTGCGAGGGGTGCGCCAAAATGGCGCGGGGCTGCCATGCGAACCCTGCCACTGGGGCCTTCGGTGGAGCTTCCCATTGGGGCCACGAGCCGTGTGAGGGGTGCACCAAACTTGCGCGGGGCCACCATGCGAACCCTGCCACTGGGGCCTTCGGTGGAACTCCTTATGGGGCCACGAACCGTGTGAGGGGTGCACCAACCTGGCGCGGGGCCGCCATGCGAACCCTGCCACTGGGGCCTTCGGTGGAGCTCCCTATGGGGCCAAGAACCGTGCGAGGGGTGCGCCAAAATGGCGCGGGGCCGCCATGCGAACCCTGCCACTGGGGCCTTTCGGTTGAGCTCCTTATGCGGCCACGAACCGTGTGAGGGGTTCACCAACCTGGCGCGGGGCCGCCATGCGAACCCTGCCACTGTGGCCTTCGGTGGAGCTCCCTATGGGGCCACGAACCCTGAGGGGTGCGCCAAAATGGCGCGGGGCCGCCATGCGAACCTTGTCGCTGGGGCGTTCGGTGGAACTCCCTATGGGGCCACGAGCCGTGTGAGGGGCGCGCCAAAATGGTGCAGGGCCGCCATGCGAACCCTGCCACTGGGGCCTTCTCGGTGGAGCTCCCTATGGGGCTACGAACCGTGTGAGGGGGCCGCCATGCGAACCCTGCCACTGGGGCCTTCGGTGGAGCTCCCTATGGGGCCACGAAGCGTTGTACTTGGTGGGTGAAACGCAGGGAGGAGGGAGGAGGGGGAGGAGGAGGGGGCAGCGGGAGGAGACGCGGGGCACCGTCTCTTCAAAACGAGGACCCAACACCACAAGATGGTTGGGAATTAGTAGAGACATCCTCGAAATTCCTGCGCGCGGGACGCGGCACGCGCGAGACATCCTCGGAATTCCTGCCCGCGGAGCGCTTTTCCGCGACGCGGTCGGGGCTCCAGACCTCGTTTTTGTTGTTCTCTGCAAGTTTTTGCTAAAAGTGCCACGGATTTTTTATTACTAAGGAAAACGGTGGTCCGCGGACCCCGTTATTTATCGAGGATCCGAGATGGGGGGTGTTTTTCCTCGAGCAGGCACGCGCGAAACGCATGTTGTTAACGCCGAATTGGATTTTACTTTGTTTTTTATCGAACGGAATTCCGCCGGCCCACCTCCCGCATGGTACCGGGGACAGATCACCACCCTAAAAGAGAACCCTGGGCCGGCGCCCTTTCCGGGAATAAACATACAAAAACACACGGTTTCGTAACACTGATCTCATCCTCCCCTCCTTCCCCTTCCCCCACCTGTTCCTCCTCCTCCTCCTCCTCCTCCTTCTCCTCCTCCTCCTCCTCCTCCTCCTCCTCCTCCTCCTCCTCCGCCTCCTCCTCCGCCCTTTCCGGGAATAACGGCTGGAGCCCTGGACCCAGTTTGTCCCAATGGCTTCACACCGGATCGATCTGTGAGGGTCGTCCTGGGCCCCGAAAGTCGGCGACATCGCCCGGCGCGAAGACAGTGCAACGCCAGGATCTCACAGGGTCGCAGGCCTAGAGATTGACGCCAACACCAATTTCGGCGGTGTGCCTCCACCGAGGGAAGAAGATCCCAATCTCGGCGATGGTGGTAATATTCTGGCTTCCAAGGTGGCCGAAATATTACCACCAACACCGAAATCTAGGATCATCTTCCCCTTGTGGAGGCAGCCCCCTGTGTTGGTGTTGGTGCCCACTTCCAGGCCTCCAACAGGGGTGCTTGCCGTGGGCCCTTCCCGGGGTCCCCGCAAGGTCCGGCCCCGTCCCTGGGACCGGTCCTGCACCCCGAGTCGCTCTCTGACGGCCCCGAGGCCTGTGAGAAGCCAGGAGAAGGACTCGAAAGAGAGGAACGGCATAAACCTAAACTTTTGTCGCACCGCGCGGACTTCTTGGATCCGCGCTGGACTTACCCGGCGGCGCCTCCAGCGCTGCCCCTGGCGCGCTCCGCGCGCCAGGGAGGGGGGCACAGCGCGGATCTAAGAGATCCGCGCGGAGCGCCAACAGTTTACGTTCATGCCGTTTTTGTTCTTCTTCTGACGACCCAATTCCTCCCGTCGTGATTTGTTTGCGACGCGAGCACGGTTGAGCTCCTCCCTCCCAGAGCACTGGATAACTATACCTTCACTGGACTTCTCTGGTCGTGATCGGTGGCGAACCCATCGGCACTCCAGATCAGTCGCGACCGATGTCGATCGATCCCAAAGAATCGGCCGCGACCGGTGGCGACCGATCGGTTGCGCGACCGATGTTGAAGCGAGTCAGTCGCGACCGATCCCAGAACCGGAAGGAGCAGGTCGGTAGCGATTGAGCTCGTCGGCCGCGACCGAAAAAATCTTGTGTCCAGTTGCGGGCAAGACTTGTATCCATATCCAGTGCATCTTGGATGTTCTGGGAAGGGGCACCAAAAGGCCGAGGCGCAATGGATATCGATAGAAATCGAGACCCTACGGGCCAGCTTTTTATCCATATCCAGTGCATCGTCGGCTTCTGAGGAAGGAGCCCGAGACTCCAAGCTGCAGTGATACGGACATGCCCCCAGGAGGTTTTTTAGTTGTGCGGCGGGTGCCTCGGACAAAACATATCTTCCATTGGTGGCACACCAGTCCGCCAATGAGGTCGCCGAAAGTATGATTTGTTTCCATTATTAGGGTGGGGGGTTCTAGAGACCAACACAGTCGAGAATCAGATTGATACACCTCCTCACGAAAAGCTGGGCCAGCGTCTCTTAGCCAACTTGCCGGAAGCTGGCCCAGCTTCCTGAGCTCAGGCGCCCTTGCAGCGTGAACAACAGACGTTGGCCCAGGTTTGCTTGACAAGACGTCCGGCAAGCTTGCCAGGGGTGAAGTCTTGCCCGCCCCAGTGGTCGGACGGGGCCAGGACGAGGGTAGTTGCATCTGTTCCAGAACGTTCTGGAACGCTCTCACAGAGCGTCCCCGAACGCTCCGGGAAGGCCGCGGCGCCCGAGACATCCTCCAGAGCCGCCGGGTCCCAGAGATTCCCGATGCATCCTCACCCGCATTTGCCCTCGTCCTGGCGTCGTCTTAGTCGGAGCTGCCTCCACGAGCCGCGCCCGGCCCAGGTTCCTTGAATGGTGCCACTCTTGATCATCCTGTCCCTTGACTCCGGATCCGCCCTACTTTGGCTTTTTTTCCAACTTAAAGTTGCGTCGGAAATCCACCTAGAAGAGGCCGAAAAAGTAGGGCGGAAATTGCTGCACCCAACATAAAATAAGGCGGAAATCCACAGAAACAGCAACAGAAAAGTAGGGCGGAAATTGGCATCAGCGGGGCTTGAAAAGTAAGGCGGAAATTCCAAGCCCTACTTACGAATTTCCCCAAAGTAGGGCGGATCCGGAGTCAGGGTCGGCCGTAGGGGTAGTTCTGGATGCCCGCCCCAGTGATCCCGGCGGCCTCCCCGAGCCGCGCCTGGCCGGTGCCGGCCGGGTCGCCGGCGGCCGGCGCCCGCGGCAGGCGATCGCCTGGCTGCGCGCGGAAGCGGCCGCGCAGCGGGGCCTGCGCCAGGCGCCCGTCGCGCGGGCTGTCTCCCCCCCCTCTGGGGGCAGCGGTCGGAGGCTTTCGTGGCATCCCTCGGACGTGCGCAGGTCTCTCGGCGAGGACCACCGAGGAGCACCCGCGGAGTTTCTCTGGCGGGAAAGAAAAAAATCAACATGATGGACCCACGAACCCGGAAAGGGATATAGACATGTGGAACACGGTCACGTTTTCACGATACCCAACTGGGCGACACCTCACGAAACATCCCACGAGACACCCCGCGAAACATCCCACGAGACACCTCACGAAACATTCCACGAGACACCTCACGAAACATTCCACGAGACACCCCACGAACAGGCAACCACTCAACAGACACGCCACGAAACATTCCACGGGGGTGCGACTGGGGATTGCAAGGGTGGGGTCGTGCTGGGGTGGGGTCGTGCTAGGGTGGGGTCGTGCTGGGGTGTGGTCGTGCTGGGGTGCGGTCGTGCTGGGGCGTGGTCGTGCTGGGGTGGAGTCGTGCTGGGGTGTGGTGGTGCTGGGGTGTGGTCGTGCTGGGGTGGTCGCACCCTGTGATTTATCGATCGGGTCGTGCTGGGGGGTGTGATCGTGCTGGGGTGTGGTCGTGCTGGGGTGTGGTCGTGCTGGGGTGTGGTGGTGCTGGGGTGTGGTCGTGCTGGGGCGTGGTCGTGCTGGGGTGTGGTCGTGCTGGGGTGTGGTCGTGCTGAGGTGGCCCGCACCCTATGATTTATCGATCGGGATTTCAAAAACAAGCGTTTCGCCTGAGACCTCCTCAAATTTTAATCCGCCGGCCTCCTTCGACTTCGATATTTATCAGGGAAAGAATCCGCCGGCCTCCTTCAAGTTGGGCACGGGGGGACTATGTTTACATACTAAAAGAGAACCCTGGGCCCACGCCCTTTCCGGGAACATGATGGACCCACGAACCCGGAAAGGGATATAGACATGTGCAGCATGGTCACGTTTTCACGATATCCAACTGGGCGACACCTCACGAAACATCCCACGAGACACCCCGCGAAACATCCCAGGAGACACCTCACGAAACAACCCACGAGACACCTCACGAAACATTCCACGAGACACCCCGTGAAACATTCCACGAGACACCCACGAACAGGCAACCACTCAACCAGACACCCCACGAAACATTCCACGGGGGTGCGACTGGGTGTGGTCGTGCTGGGGTGTGGTCGTGCTGGAGTATGGTCGTGGTGGGGTGTGGTCGTGCTGGGGTGTGGTCGTGCTGGGGTGTGGTCGTGCTGGGGGGGTGGTCGTGCTGGGGGGTGTTCGTGCTGGGGCGTGATCGTGCTGGGGCATGGTCGTGCTGGGGCGTGGTCGTGCTGGGGTGTGGTCGTGCTGTGGTGAGGTCGTGCTGGGGTGTGGTCGTGCTGGGGTGTGGTCTTGCTGGGGTAGGGTCGTGCTGGGGTCGGGTCGTGCTGGGGTGTGGTCGTGCTGGGGTGTGGTCGTTCTGGGGTGTGGTCGTGCTGGGGTGTGGTCGTGCTGGGGTGGGGTCGTGCTGGGTCGGGGTCGTGCTGGAGTGTGGTCGTGCTGGGGTGTGGTCGTGTTGGGGTGTGGTCGTGCTGGGGCGTGGTCGTGCTGGGGTGGGGTCGTGCTGGAGTGGGGTCGTGCTGGGGTGTGGTCGTGCTGGGGTGGTCCGAACCCTGTGACTTATCGATCGGGTCGTGCTGGGGTGTGGTCGTGCTGGTGCTGGGGTGTGGTCGTGCTCGGGTGTGATCGTGCTGGGGTGTGGTCGTGCTGGGGTGTGGTCGTGCTGGGGTGTGGTCGTGCAGGCAACCACTCAACCAAGGCGGTGTGCTCGTGCTGGGGAGTGGTCGTGCTGGGGGGTGGGCGTGCTGGGGGGTGGTCGTGCTGCGGTGTGGTCGTGCTGGGGGGGTGGTCGTGCTGGGGGGGGGTCGTGCTGGGGCGTGGTGGTGCTGGGGCGTGGTCGTGCTGGGGCGTGGTCGTGCTGGGGTGTGGTCGTGCTGTGGTGAGGTCGTGCTGGGGTGTGGTCGTGCTGGGGTGTGGTCTTGCTGCGGTGGGGTCCTGCTGGGATGTGGTCGTGCTGGGGTGTGGTCCTGCTGGGGTGTGGTCGTGCTGGGGTGGGGTCGTGCTTGGGTGGGGTCGGGCTGGGGTGTGGTCGTTCTGGGGTGTGGTCGTGCTGGGGTGTGGTCGGGCTGGGGTGGGGTCGTGCTGGGTCGGGGTCGTGCTGGGGTGTGGTCGTGCTGGGGTGTGGTCGTGTTGGGGTGTGGTCGTGCTGGGGCGTGGTCGTGCTGGGGTGGGGTCGTGCTGGAGTGGGGTCGTGCTGGGGTGTGGTCGTGCTAGGGTGGTCCGCACCCTGTGACTTATCGATCGGGTCGTGCTGGGGTGTGGTCGTGCTGGTGCTGGGGTGTGGTCGTGCTGGGGTGTGGTCGTGCTGGGGCGTGGTCGTGCTGAGGTGTGTTCGTGCTGGGGTGTGGTCGTGCTGGGGCGTGGTCGTGCTGGGCGTGGTCGTGCTGGACATCCTGCCAAAATTCCAGGAAATCGTGCAAAAACAAAGGAATTAGTCGAGACATCATCGAAATTCCTTCGCGCGGGGCGCTTTTCCGCGTCGCGGTCGGCTCTGCAAAACAAGCGTTTCGCTCGAGACATCCTCGGCAAACTCTGCGGAGCAAGCGTTTCGCTCGAGACATCCTCAACACACGAAAAAGTGGCCCGCACCCTGTGATTTATCGATCGGGATTTCAAAAACAAGCGTTTCGCTCGAGACATCCTCAAATTTTAATTCGCCGGCCTCCTTCGACCTCGTTATTTATCAGGGAAAAAATTCGCCGGCCTCCCTCAAGCAGGCACCGGGGGATTAGGTTTACCAACTAAAAGAGAACCCTGGGCTCAGGCCCTTTCCGGGAAAAAACAAAAAAACATGAAAAAACGCACGAGGCCGAGAGGTGCACGGGGAATTGGGTGCCCGAGCGACGGCGGGTCTTCGGGCTCGGGGTCTCGGGCGTGCTCGTCGGCCCTGGGCGGCTCCTCCGGCCTCGGGGTGGCTCTTCCGCGGGGGCCGCGCCTCGCCGGGGGCGCTGCGGCACGTGGGCCCGGGTCGCGCCGAAGGGCCGCCGGGGAGCCGAGGCCTGCCCCGAGGGCCACCCGCCGGGGGCGGGGCTATAGGCTCTCAGGCAAGCAGTGGCGAAGCGTCCTGGCTCGCCTATGGCCCTAGCAAGCAAGGTTCCAAGACTCTTGTTTGTGGTGTCCACGAGATGTCCTCAGAACATTGCTGGTTGGAGTTGTCGTGTTTTAACACATCGGGTTGAGGTTCTGAGAACCTTGTTTTTGTTCTTAGAACATTCTTGGGTTCTAAGAACATCTCGTGGTAGGACTATAGGAATGCCGGGACGGTCGGTCCCTGCTCAACTCAGCGGGGGGACGCCTCGGCCCCCACTCGCCCACTGACCGCCGCAAGGGGCCCGAGGGCCCCCCCCCCTCCCACGAGCGTTCGGATCTGTCAGCGGGGCCCAGCCATCGCCGGTCTATCGGCGTGTGTGGCCGATTCCGGGCCGATGTGTCCCCCCCGTATGCCAGTCCCCCCATATCGTTACCCGTTACCCCCAGCGAGCTCAGGGCGGCCTCCCTCTTGCGGGTAGGTAAGATTTGCACATGTGTGTGTATCTATATATATATATATGTATATATATATATATATATATATATATCCATCCATCCATCCATCCATCCATCCATCCATCCATCCATCCATCCATCCGTCCATCCATCCATCCATCCATCCATCCATCCATCTATCTATCTATCTATCTATCTATCCACTGCATCTTGGAGTTTCGGGTTCCCGTCCCCAGGAAAAAGTCAAGGGGCGCAGTGGATGTGGAGAAAGATCTCGACCCAGAGGCTGGATGTTTTATCTGCATCCATTCTGCTTCGGCCTCTTTTGGCGCCACATCCCCGAAAGACGAAACGCAGTGGAGGAGGTGGATACAAGTTCCCCAACACACACACACACACACACACACACACACACACACACACATACATACATACATACATACATACATACATACATACATACATACATACATACATACACACACACGCAGTGGAGACCCACAAGAAACACCCTGATTGCCTCCATGGTGTCCTGGGTTTCTTGGGTTTCGATGGTCTTGCTATAAAAAGCGCGACGTCCCACGCCCAAAATCGATGGAGGCCCTGGGGTCTCAGGGTTGGGTTTTTTGGTGGCAGGTTTTCGTGTGACTACACCTCCCTCCCTCTCCCTCTCTCCTTCCCTCTCTCCTTTCTTGCGTCAGACAAGCGCTGGCTGGCGGGAGCCTTCGCGTCTGCCTGCCTCCTTCCCTCTCTCCCTCCCTCCCTCCCTCCTTCCTTCCTCCTCCTCCTCCTCCTCCTCCTCCTCATCCTCTCCCCCCCTCCTCCTTCTCCTCCTCCGCCCTCCGCCCCCTCCTCCCCCTCCTCCTCCTCCTCCTCCTCCTCCCTCCCTTCCTCCCTCCCCTTCTTCTCAAGTCCTTCGGGGTGGTGGCGGTCGCGCTCGCGGCGGGGCGGCCGCAGCCCCGCGAGGCGTCGTGTCATGCTGATGATTCGTCAACTTGAGGAGTTCCTCGTCCTCCCTCCCTCCTCCCTACCTCTTCTGTCCTCCTCCTCTTCCCCCTTTTCCTCCTCCTCTACTTATCCTCCTGATGTTCCTCCTCCTCATCCTCCCTCCTCCTCTTTCTTTCCCTCATCATCCTCCGTCCGTCCTCTCTCCGCGGCGTTCGGCTGGTTCGGGCCGCCTCGACGCGGAGTCGGCGTCCAGATCATTCAACGTGTCTCGGAAATCGAGGCAGAAATGCTTGGCAGTGTTCGGTCTCCGTGTGATGTGGTCGGGCTCTGTGGGCGTCAAAACGACTCAGGATGACAAGCTGTGTGTTTGGGCAAGGTCCTGGACTTCGGGTGGCTCCACATCGAAAAAGCAAGAGTCATCGGATGTCTGGAGTTGGCGCGGGAATTCAAGGTTGAGCGCCATTTGTGGACTTCTGT